CTAATAGCTGTTACTTTATTTTATATAATAGTAAAGAAATTTGTGTTCAATTATGAGCACTAGAAACAAACACTAGTGAGTGAATAAAAAGATAGTGAGGGATTATGATGGATAAGTCAGTTAATAAGAGAACTTGATGGATAAGCAAAGTAATAAGGCTCCACAGTGGAGGCAATTTCCCTTTTTGAAAAACACTATCTTTGGAATATACACAGGATATAATTTTCAAAAGAAACAAAGTGTATATAGGGGAAACAATTTTCACTCATTCTCGAGACACTCAGTCCTTTTCCATAGATAATCTATGGCTATACAAGCATAATAATTCTTTTTCAATATATTTTCTCAGCAACTAAGAAGTTCAGTGTTTGTAATAGTAATAAGAAGAGTGCTGATCTGGCCTGAAACATAAAGTTTTACCTTAGATATTTGTCTCATAAATAGTTTTTAAGAAGTCAGGTAATATGCTTACAAGGGGATTACCAAGGCCCTATACCACATGAGTTTGGGGGCACAGGGAGATCAAGATTTAGAACAAAGTTAGGTGAAATCTAGGACCAAAGGATAGCAGAAGGGTGTGTGTGTGTATGTGTGTGTGTGTATATGTGTGTGTGTTGGGTGGGGCAGGTGGGAACCTTTGGAGAATGGCTGTAGGCTGCTAGTGAGGTGCTATGATCTCTAGGCCTTGGTAGGTCCTTGTGAAGAGACACGGTTCTGAAAGTTTGGCACCCTTATAGGATTTTTAATATTTTTTTTATCCACAGGGGTGACCCTGGACATTATTACTAAAACTTAAAAATTTCACCCCTGGGCACACAGGTTACCCTTCTTGTGGTGGCATGGCAAAGCTCGATTTGCAAGAGTTTCTTTTGGACTGTCCCCAGTGTATCCCTTTAAAAATAGGAGCTCCTTCAGGGTGAGGAATGAAGGAGAAAATATCCCTTGTAACCTATTTTCTCATCTTCATTCCAAGGACTCTAGAAAGGCACAGCAGGTTGGTTTTGAAGTCTGGGTAATTTTAGTGCTGTCCATTCTCCCAAGTGGATGCCTCTAGTGAAGGTAAAAGGAAATACTGTTTTCTGTGTCAAGGGAAGATTTATATGCAAATCCCAAGACTCAGATGTTATTTCAGAGGAGTTGGTGTCCATAGTAAAGTAGAACCGGCCCGGGTTCATCTGCCTACAAGGTCAATGGTATGAGGCAAATATGAGGAAACTGGCAGATCAGGAGGGGTGGAATCTTGAATTCTAGGTGGAGAGAGGATCAATGTGTTGAGCAAACACATGGCTGTCTTCTTATTTCCTATATGAAATCATGGAAAAGACTTTAGAACAAACAATAATAAGTTATAGCAGGAAAACAAAGAGCAGTCTTTTGGCCGGAAATAGAAACTGTTAAAAAGAAAAACAAAACAACAGAAATAAAAAACACCTTTAAGTTTGAAAGCAACAGAAGTTAAAAAGTGGAAAGTTGCCTGGAATGTGCTTTTATTGCGGCCTCTCTAATAAACCCGTCCCCACTCCATCTTCGTGTCCTTGCTTATCCTAAGCAGCATGGTGGCAGCCGTGGCATTCATCAAGCTAAAGTGGTCGTTTTTGGCACTTGGGCTTGAGATGGCAGTGAAGTGGCATCGTTTGTCTGGGAAAATGCCAGAGGTTTGTTATCTCACACCATGGAAATTGAAGATGTGGACACAAAAGGAGTGGGTTTAAGAGCGAAAGTTTAATAGGCAAAAGAAAGGAGAGAGAGTTTCCTTGTGCATTAGAAGGCTGTCTGAGCAGGTTTCCGGGTATGGGGCGAGTTGTGGTTGGTTTTATAGATCAGCTTGAGGAGGCAGTGTCTGATTTACATAGGGCTGAGAGGATTGATTGGAGCAGGTGTGCCATTGATGCGATACATGAAGAGGCTGGCCATCCCACACTAATCTTTAGTATGCAGATGGGGCCTCTACCTGGCCTGTGCCATGTCGCCTGCACACGTGAAGACAAAGAAAAGGGAATAGGTGGCCAGGTGCCATAGCTCATGCCTGTAATCCTAGCACTTTCAGAGGTCAAGGACAGTGAATCATGAGAGGTCAGGAGTTCAAGACCAGCCTGACCAACATGGTGAAACCCTGCCTCTACTAAACAAACAAACAAACAAACAACAAAATTAGCCGTGCATGGTGGTGGGCACTGTAATCTCAGCTACTCAGGAGGCCGAGGCAGAGAATTGCTTGAACCCGGGAGGTGGAGGTGGCAGTGAGCTGAGAACGCACCATGGTACTCCAGCCTGGGCGACAGAGCGAGATTCCGTCTGAAACAAACAAACAAACAAACAAAAACAAACAAACAAAAAATGGAAGAGGAAGCCTCCATGTTGAGTATGCCTGGCTTCCAGGTACCCCTTTTCTATTTATAGGTGCCAGCATTTAACTATGCAAGCTTTTAGCTTGCTTATCTGTGCTTGTGGCTTGATTTTTCAGGCTGATTTTTGTTAGAAAAGAAAGTATATGGGGGCTGCTTTTTTATTAAAAGAAAACCCTTACCGAGGACTCCCTTACCTACACTAACTGCTTAATAATTTCTTTTAACTCCTGTATCAGCAGTGCTTGCCCCTGATAGGTAATGATCATGAGGGGGAACAGGAGCCTCTAGACTTACAGACAAGTGGCCAGCACTCTCCTGATGGAGTGTTTCCCTCCCCAGCACCCCCTGCTGGTCAATTTGACCAACAGATGAACAGAAGTTCTCAAATACACAATAAACAGCCCCAATATCGCCAGAAATATCAAGTTGGGATGGCATTTTTTCAAATTGTCTTTATTTTTAGTCTGCATCATTTGTTGCTTTCTGAGGGAAGTTTTTTGAGTTCTCCCACTAAGACTGTGGATTTGCATTTTTCTTTTTGTATGTCTGTCAGCTTTTGCCATATATATTTTGTAGTTGCGTTGTGTTGTGAGGCAGATTCATGATCTATGTTGTGGGAGAATTCTGTATTTAGCAGATGTTCATCTTACGTTCTATTTTGCCTAGTATTGATGGTATTACTTTGCTTTTCAATTTCACATTCATTTAGTGTATCTTTTTCCTTTGCGTGAACCCTGGTGTGTTGTTTATTTCAGATATGCTTACTTATGTACTGACAGTGACCCCCAAATTCATATGTTGAAGACCCAACTCCCAATGCCCTTGGAGGTGGGCCTTTGAGAAGTAATTGGGTTTAGATTAAGTTATGAGGGTGGAGCCCCCATGATGGAATTAAGTCCTTCTAAGAAAAGGAAGAGAGTCTGAGCTCTCCTCTGTCTCCACTATGGGAGGGCACAGAGAGCTAACAGCCATCAACAACCTGAGAGAAGTGGACTGAGAAGAAAACCTCACTAGAGCCTTGTCATATCGCTTCCCAGTTTCCAGAAGAGTGAGAAATCAATTTCTGTTATATAAGCCACTCAGTCTATGAAATTTTGTTATGACAGCCAGAGCTGATTAATGCATGTTCTTGGACGTTGTTTTTAACTGAGTATGAAAAACATATATTTTAATAAGAAAATTACCCCATTCATTTTTAGTGTGTTTATTAATACTTTTGGACTTATTTGTGCCATGTTTAAGAACTCCTCTTTCCTCTTTCCTACACTTTCTTGTTTTTTTAATCCAAGTGCATGATAAGGTTTAGGAATCACTATCTTAACAGGACCATGAAGGGCTAGATAAGGGAAGCTGGCTTGCATTCAGGGAAGAGGCAGAGGAGGGAAGTTGCCAGCTGGGCTGTGCTAAGATGACCTGAGCCCCAGACCCCGGATGTACAACCTCTTCTGGACACAGGACATGCCGGAGGCATTTTGAAATAGACAAATTTTATTTGCTTTGTGTTCTTTCGTCATCTGTATTAGCTTTTGCCTTTTAAGTGCCAAAATATAGCTGTTTATATATTTCCCCAAGTTCTTGAGTTTATTTTTTGTGTGAGAATTTTCCACCCTTGAAATTCCAAATGACATGTTTCTTCTCTTTCTCAGACCATGCTTTCATTTCATTTCAGTCAATGTAACATTTCAGCCAGGTCTTAGGAGTTTAGAAATCTGATTGGATTGATTCATACTAAGCTGTAACAGCCTTCCAAGATGAATTGGAGTTTTTTAAAAACTCCATGACCTACACAATTCTTTAGGTGCTGGAATTGCACACTTTCAAATCGCATCAAGTGTAAACATTCAATTGTGTAGAGGTTAATTTTTTAAGGAGAGATGAGGATAGGTGTTGGTTAATACTGCTAGACTTTATTACAAAAGACAATTCTATCAAGATTTCTTTTGTTTTTTAAATCTAGACAATCAGAAAGAGTGAAAATGCCAATTTTTTTTTTTTTTCTTTTTCCTACAGCTGCAATGTTCACAGCAATCCAGCTTCCCATAATAGGGTGGGAGAGCAAAGCCAAATGAGGCCATGGCTTTTTTGTGAAGTGTATTTCTTTTTTGTTTTTAGATCAGGGATTCAGAAATTTTAATATAAGTGTTCAATTAGAAAGTTATTATTATAGTGCATTGTATGTGTCCTTTCCATCATCTGGATTCTTCCGCTTTTTTTGTCTGGCTCACTGTTACTCACGCTCCAGTCTTCATCTTAGTGGTCACTTCTCTCCAGAATGCCCATGACCCCTTAATATAGCAGTGCTGCAAACACCAAAAGCCGAACTTATAACCAGACTCACAGGCAACACCTTGTCCTGTGCCATGCTTCACTAATGATGAGGAAATGAGAAAGAGTAGGAGAAAGGAGGCAAAACAAATATCATTTCCACAGCAGAGGCCTCAAGGTCAGCCCACTTGATTCTCTGGAGATCCTATTCTGCATAACAATGATGAAAGGTAGCCTGGGAAAGCCATTTGTCTGAGGCTTCACCTTTGATACATTACTAGTTACTAAACTAAGAGACAGATTCTATTCTTTAGTGTGGCCATGCCTCATAAATCCATACATAGCAGGGCTATTTATTTCCAATAAAGTATCCATATAGATTAGGTATATTCTATTGACAATTTTATTAAAGTTCTTCATTTATCTTCCAGATAGTAGATTCTATCAACCAAGTTACATAAAGAGTTCTGATTCCCAGAGGTAAGAACTGAGCCTGGCTTTCTGGTGACATGTTTACTGGTAACCCCGTCCTTCCCTACAACGCTTAAGCATATTTAAAGACTATACCCTCCCCTGCCTCCAGCCTGGACTGTGAGCTCCTCAAGAGCATGGCTGTGTCTTTTAACATCAAGTCTCCATGTGCGAAAGAGTTCCTGCCGTATCATAAATGCCCAATCAACATTTGTAAGTGAAGAAAGCTATTCTGTGGTGTCTGCTTTAATATTAAGAGATGGCTTGCCCAAGATGGCTAAGCAGCTTCATTGTCTAAAATGGAACTAGATTCTGTGGGTAGCAGGTCCATTGGTGCCACTCACAGGGGGCCTCAAAGTAACCCGCCAACCCCACTGATCTGCGGGAGTCTTTATTGTCTTCCAGTACAGAGACGTAAAATGGTATATTCTTCTGACACAGATACTTCTGGTGTCGCACCAGCAGCTGTGCCATGTTGCCTTTCTTTCGGTATTTTTCCATGCAGTAGCCCATTCCTACTTCACAAGAAGGGTCCATGGTTATCCATGAGATTGGGGTCCCCTCTGGGCCGAGCATACAGGCTGCTGGCAGGACTTCTATGCAGCGCATGATGTAACGCAAGCTCCTCTCATTCTTCCCTCGCTTCCAATTGTCATTTACCAGCCTGGAATAAGAAATATCCAGCTGGGCATAATTAAAGTTGGGAGTTTTCCTGTAGAAAACATAAAGAAAGACAACAACTTTCATCCCCACTCTTGTAATTTCTGGGTACCATTCTATTCTAGAGATCCCAGGCCCTCTTCTTGTTTAAAGACCCACCAGTGCAAAGTTGCGTATTTTGACCATTGATAACCTTTATTCATCCCAAGCAATGGATTCATACTCTCTTCACTCCAAAACTGATTTATGTGAGTTACAAAAATGTACAAGGAATGGCAATTATAAATGATCAGCACATGATTTTTGTACCTCTCAAATTCATCATCTGGTTGGCCTATCTCTGCCCAGCTTCCGAGCTTGCTTTTATTGGAGGCATGGAGTTTCAGGAAATCTTCTGTAATAAAGAGGCCTGCTCTTGAATGCTCTACCTTCACTGAATTTGAAAATGCAGCCGCTCTTATCTCCTCACCCAAACTTTCTTGAAGACCTGGGAAGAAATGCAAGAAAGCAATATTGTCAGACATGGAGTTCTCTACTTACACTACTCCCACCTGATTAATACCTCAGTGCTTAGTAGTTCTCAGACTTGAGTTTACACCACAATCAGATGGAGTCCTTGTCACACCACAGATTACTCTACCTCTCCTATCCCCCAGAGTTTCTGTGAGTTTACACATCTAATGAGCTCTCAGGTGATGCTAATGCTATTCGTTGAAGACACAATTTGAGAAGCACTGCTGGTTGCCCATTTCTTCAGACTTGTTACCTTGGATTTGGAGTCTCTGTTTCCAGTTGATGATCTCACAATTTTTCAAAACTTCTTGTGATTTTTGAGGGTCTTTGGAGAATATACGATATACATTTGTGTATGAGTCCATGTCGTCTGTCATCTCCTGTATAGGGTGGTGAGAGGTCAGATCATTCCCTTGAACTTTTTCTTCACCTCTCGCTGATTGTAATTATCAGAAAAATGAAAATTGAAAGGAAATTTTTAACACTGGCCCATGATGGCTGCAGTTGGGCACACGGACAATAAAACCCAGGCCTATAAGCTACTGCTGACCTCTTAACTGTGTAACTGGAGTTTGTTAAATATTTAACACTGACAGGTACTGGTCATAAACCTGCTTATCAGATGCATAACAAAAACAGGATGAAAGCAGTCACCCTCCACCAGGCCTTAAGATACCTCACCTTTCTTCCTACCCACTCAACTGCACAGTTACCTTATTTTATATATAGCATCACCGAGAACCCAGCAGAATCAAAGGAATGCAACAATTCCTTCTCTCCCTGCTTCACTTACCCCGTTTGTCATGCGTATCCCCCTGCTATATATACTGTGCCCCATGTAACCTCCTGTGGGACATATTCTGGGTTGAACTGAGTCTGTGTTGCTAGGATTAAGTCCTTAAACTTGGATCAGAATAAATTTAACTGTGAATTCTCTAAGTTTTATGGCCTACTGTATCACCAGACACCTAGAACCTATAGTGTCCTAGAATCTACAGTGTCCAGGGCTTGAGCAAGATACTTTAGTGAATATAAACATTAAGGAGACATTGCCTTTTCCTAAGGCTACAGGATATCAACCTATTCGAAGAGTGACATTGCCTTTACAGCCAGAAGCCCACAAAATAGAATGAAGTAACTGAATTTTTGGTAGCACTCTGCATAATTTATGTGGTGTTAGACTCAAGGGTTTGAAAGAAAGAGACTCGTCATCCCATTCTGGCAAACCACAAACTTCATGGGACGATGAGTATCTGTTTCTCAGGGGAAATATAAACAATAAGCGTGAGAGTTTTAGCAGTGAATGTATTAATATTATGTTGAAAATTATATTGTTAAGAGTAAAATGGAGGATAGTGTAAGTAATTTTAAAGAAACCTTCAAGAATTTGAGGGTGCTTTTATAAATGCAAGTTCCTGAATATGGCCAAGACTGACACCTCAGTGAATTTAAAAGAGTAGATGTTTTAAAAGACCCGATTTTAAAAGACTGACTGAAAATAGCCAAGTAGATAGTCAAGAAATTATAAAAAGAATATCAACCTAGAAAATAGCAAATGGAACAATTTGTAAAAATGAAAGCCATAATTAATGAATTGTAGAACAAGACAGAGTGCAAAGGATATATAAAGCCAAAACTTCATTTTTAATTGGCAAAAATAGAAAGAGAAGAGAGAGAGAGAGAGAGAGAAACTTCTGGTAAGGGTTTCGAAGGAAATACATGAGAAAGAGAAAAAAGAAAAAAAAAAGGCATAGCATATGAGCTCTGAGAATGGAAATAGAAAAGAAAATAAGACTTATAATAGCAGATTATATACTACTCCAAGGCAACATATTTACTGATAAAGAAATGGATGTTATCCCTCAAGAATAAACTATCAAAATTGACTTTCACAAAATAGAAAATTTCAACAAACTAATAGAAAATATCAGAAATTGAATTAAACAACTACCATTTGAAAAGTGAACAATAATGATGGCCTCCATCTCCATCCATGTTCTACAAAGGACAATATTTTATTCTTTTCTATTGCTGTGTAATATTCCATAGGAATATACATACCAAGTTTTTTTTTTTTTTATCCAGTCTACCTCTGATGGGCACCTGGGTTGATTCCACGTCTTTGCTATTGTGAACAGTGCAGCAATGAACATACTAGTGCGTGTGTCATTTTGGTAGAATGATTCATTTTCTTTTGGGTATTTATCTAGTAATGGCATTGCTGGGTCGAATGGCAACTCTATTTTAAGTTCTCTAAGACATTTCCAGACTACTTTCCACAGTGTGATAATCCTAAGCAAATTAATGATGTAACGGAAAATCAAATGTCACATGTTCTCACTCATAACTGGGAGCTAAGCACTGACCATACATGGACACAAATGTTGGAACAATAGACATTGTGGACTCTACAGGGTGGAGGGAAAGGGGCTGGCTTAGAAAACTACCTATTGGGTACTATGCTCACTACCAGGGTGATGGGATTTGTCTGTACTCCAAGACTCAGCATCATGCAATATTCACATGTAACAAATCTGCATATGTACCCACTTTATCTAAAAGGAAAGTTGAAATTAAAAAATAAAAAGTAGCCAAAATCAGATTATTTTACATTTAAATTCTACATAAGCCAAAACCAAACACATAATTTTAATAGTAGACGTTGGTAACAGATGAAAAGATCCTAATTCCAAATCTGGTAAAGAAACAACAAAAAGAGAGTTACTGACCATATTGGCTTTTGAATACAGATGCAAAAATTCTGAATAAAATATTCAGTAGCATATGAAAAGAATGTGAACATGAACAGTTTGTTTTAGAAAGGCCAGAATGACTCTGATCAGAAAAGATCTCTTAGTGTAATAAATTAAAGGAGAAAAAAATTACATGAGTATACAAATTGTCACAAAAAGACAAAAATGAAATAACATAAAATTTGCCCTTCATTCTAAATATAATTTCTATGAAAGTAGGAACAACAGTAAAGTGCTCTAGTAAAGACAGAATTAAATGCAATTCCAAATGTAAGTGGTTATAGCTATTTCATTAAAATCAGGAATGAGACAAGGATAGAACTATTATTATGGTTAGTTGGTATTGTTTCTTAGGTTGTGCATTATGCAATAAGGCAAGAAACTAAAAACCCATACAAATATTGAAAAAGAAGCAGCAAATTACTTTGTTTGTAGATTACAGTATTACACATTTAGAAAATCCAAGAAACTTCAACAAAAACAAATAACACAAACAAACAGGATTTTAAAGAATAGTGTGACATATTTGGAAATCAAGAGTATAAATAGAAAGAAATCACAAAATAATAATCCTCAGAAATAGAAAAGGAAAAATAATTTAAGAATCTTAAAAAAATTTATAAAATATCTGAGGGTAAACTTAATGGGAAATCACGTAGTTTACCACAGGAAAACATTAATATTTCACCAGATGGCATAGAACACAAAGTGAAAAACATGAGAGAAAGACCATATTTATTGATAAAAATATTTAGTATCACAAAAATATTAATCCTTCCACAATTGTCTAAAAAAGCTCCTCCAATACAAGTCACAATTGCAATAGTTAGTTGGGGTAGTTGGGGAACTGAGAATTTAGTTTTTGCTCATATAGCTCTTAAGTTTATAAGAAATAGGAAAGTAAGAAAATGATTAGTGAAGTGTGATTTGCTTTATTAGATACTAAAACTTGCCACAAAACAGAGAAATAGCATGAGAAAAGACTAGAAACAAATACAAAAGTAGCTACAAAATATATAAAAGTGTTATATGACAAAATAGACATTTATGTTTCAGTAGTGGAATGATTTATTTACTAAGTAGTACTGACATAATTAGCCAGCCATAAGGGAGATAAATATAAAAGAATGTTAATTAATGCTATTCAAAAATATATTCCAAATAGAATGAAGTTTGAAACGTCAAAAGTAAAAATTAATTCACTGTAAGACAAAATACAAAAAACTTGTATGATCTTGGATTAGCAAAAATCTTCCTAATTATTAACGAAAAAAAAAGAAAAAAACAAAGCCTCAGAAATCATAGTGAAAAACATAATATATTTGATTACATGAAATTAAAAATTTCTTCATATGGAAATCTCTATCAATAAAATAGAAACTAATTCTAAATTGGGCAACAAATTTGTAGCATACACCTTGTGTTAGTATCCCCAGTATCCAAAACACATAGAGAATTTTAAGAATGACACATAAACCCCTGTGTAAAAATGGTCAAACAATATAAACAATTTAGAAGTAAACCCCAAATGACTGACAAACATATGAAAATATATGTTGAATATCACTAGTCAGGGAAAAGCAAATTAAATCTACAATAAGATGCCACTTTTCACCCACCAGTTTGGCATAAACTAAAAGATGGATAACATTCAGTGCTGGTGAGAATGTGGGAAACAATTCTTCCACAAATTGCTGATGGAAATAAAGCTGTGGAATCCTTTGGGAAGGTAATCTGGCAGTGCCTACTTAGGATAAGATAAGCTCTGACTTGAAGGTATCCCTTTTGGAAATCAATTGTATGGAGAAAAGTTTCCAGGATGTCAAGACATGTATACCAGGATGTTTATTGAAGCATTGTTTGTAGTGGCAAAGAAGTATGAACAATTTGAACCCAACAGGAGGAGAATGACTGAATAGCATTGCATAGACTCTATGGAATGCCACAGTTATTAAAACGAATACGTTAGTGCTGTATTGATTCACTCAAAGCAATGTCCATATGTCAAGGGCAAATTAAAAAGTATGACAGAAGAGATCATAAGTGAATATCCGTTTGTGTGTTAATATGGGCAAGGACACTGATTACCCCAAGGGGTAGAAATGGAGGAGAGGAGGGGAAAGGAGGTGAGGTGTTATTAAATTCTTAAAATCATGCTGGATTTTTCCACTTGTATAATCAGCATATATTATCTTTGTGATTAAAAACCAACAAAGAAAAAGTTAAGTTTTTTCTACAAAAATTCTCCTGCATCTCACCCTAAAAAGTTCTTACTCAAAATTGCACTGACTTTCAATACTGAAAGAAACGTGTTATAATATGGAATCAGACTAGATGAATGTATTTCCAAGTAAATTGCAGCATACTTCATTCTTTCCATTTTTTTGGTCACATATGTATGGCATGGAACTTCTATATTTTAATATTTTTGTTTATTGACTCACTTTTTTTTTTTTTTTTGAGACGGAGTCTTGCTCTGTCACCCAGGCTGGAGTACAGTGGCACAATCTCGGCTCACTGCAACCTCCGCCTCCTGTGTTCATGCCATTCTCCTGCCTCAGCCTCCCGAGTAGCTGGGACTATAGGTGCTTGCCACTATGCCCGGCTAATTTTTTGTATTCTTTAGTAGAGACGGGGTTTCACTGTGTTAGCCAGGATGGTCTCGATCTCCTGACCTCGTGATACACCCTCCTCGGCCTCCCAAAGTGCTGGGATTACAGGCATGAGCAACCACGCCCAGCCTATTGAATCACTTTATAAAAACTAGCCTTGTTCAAAGCAATGCATATATGAAGTTACGGTTTAATGGTACAGTTACGTTGCTACAATACACATAGCAACTACAAAGTTACTGAAGTAAAAATATTTGACTTCGTACAGTTATTTAGCATATCACGCTTTGAAGAAATTGGACCATGGATTCAATAAACTGAGCATTAATCTTCGATCCCACATTGTCAGGAAGCCAGGAGATCAAAAGAACTCCCTGGGGAAGGTGTTAGGCTCAGCTTATTATTATTTGGGGGCTCAGCGTCTATAACCACATGAAGCTGGGCTGGCCATGAGGCTTCAGTTCACTAACCAGATGTGCATGAAACAGACACAAAAAGGGAAAGTCTTTAGGGCAAAAAAATAGACCTAGGTTTGTATTACTATTTCAGCTTAATCGTGTATTCCTTGTGTGTCCTCAGCCAATAATGGCTAATTATGGCAAATACCATTTAGAATTATGTGCTGTGTACTAAGGGTTTGACATATGGTTTCTCATTTATCTTGAGACTACCTTGAGTAATCCTCTGAAGAAAGTCCTCTTATTTTTCCCATTTTAACAGATGATAAAACTCAGAGAACGGCCTATGGTTATATAGCTAGTAAAAGTGGCAGAGTCCACTGAACTTGAATTCAGATTGGGCAATGCTTTAACATCTGGTATCCAGCAGCTACATGACTTAATATTTCTCAGTGTGGTTTCCTTATCTCTAAATTGAAGATATTAATGGTCACTTCATAAAATTGTTCTGAGGATGACAGTCACTAATGAGCAAAGTGCTTCCACATAGTTGACACACAGTAATTTTGTGTCCCTTCCCTGGTTCCTGAGAAGTAACTTTATTTTTTAAGACAGGGTCTCACTCTGTTGCCCAGGCTGGAGTACAGTGGTGTGATCTTGGCTCACTGCAGCCTCGGCCTTCTGGGGCTCAAGCCATCCTCCCACCACAGTCTCCTGAGTGTCTGAGTATAGGCATGCACCACCGCACCCCGCTAATTCTGTTTAGTTTTTGTAGAGATGAGGTCTCACTATGTTGCATAGGCTGGCCTCAAACTCCTGGCCTCAAGCAACCCTTCTGCCTTGACCTCCCAAAGTGCTGGGATCACAGGTATAAGATACCATGCCTGGCCCTGAGAGGTAATTTTACTGGTCGATTTCTGGTTTGGTTTTTAAGTCACTGTTCCGATATCTCAGACACCCAACTTTCCCTGTAAAGTGGCCTCCATTCAGCCCCTGCAGGTAACCCCTGCCACCTCAAAGGGCCCTTAATCTGTGAGTGTCAGCCTAGTCCTTTTGCTCCCCTTCCCCCTCGAACCCTTTCTCAAATGTTTTATGCTTTAGAGGAAGAATAGGAATATGTGGCACTCATGTAAGGTGCCAAGTACGGAAGAAGTGTTTTAAAATACTCACTTTTCCTTTCACCCTATAAAAGCAGCCCTGGTGTCTGAACTGGTCAGTTCCTCAGGCCCTTTGGACCTGCCTGGATCCACCAGTCCCTGTGTGTGTGCCTACCTGTTTTTGAGGCCGGATAATAACCATCTGATAGTCGGGCCAGGAGTCCACCAACACCTCCATGTTGAAGGGGTTCCCGTGATTGATGTGATACACAGAGCCGTAAACCTGACAGAGGGATGAAAGGGAATAGGAGAGGTTGAGATTCCCAGAGATGGGGATCTGGATGTGAAGAGGAAGAGAAAAATGGAGGTCAAGAGACAGTACTGGGACTAAGACAGTGAAGGTGAGATGAGCAGCGTCTCCAGGACCATATTGATGGATGTGAAGTCACCAGCAAGCAGTCAGAACTCACAGGTAGGTGTCCTTGTGATGCCAAAGAGCTACTGTGCACTAGCTGGGCACTTGGCAATGCTCTTAGCACTTATAATGTATGAATTTATTTAGTGTCCACAACAACTTTAAAACGTAGGTGCTAATATTTTTCCCATTTTATTGATGAAAAGACCAAGGTAAAGGCACAGAAAGGTAAAGAAACATGCACAAAGTAATCCGACACTCCCATTGTTCCCTCACCTTCAGGGACACAGGGATGCTCCTGGCCAGGGATTTGTATAGGGCCAGCAGCTTCTGGGAGTTATTCAGTAGGATCATATTGTGGGATGCTTCAGTCCTTGAGCCCTTCAAGAAGAAACTCTGAAAAGAAGTGAAGGGAAAATGGTAAGAGACCAAATGTGTAAAATGCACTTTATACATTTCCATTGAAGTAGCACTCATGATGCAGATACTGTTAGTGTCGTCTTCATTTGGAATACACCAAAGCTCAGAGAGACTAAGTAAATTTCTCAAATTCTTACAGAGATAAATGCCAGAGTCAGATTTTGAAACCATATATGAATGACTCCAAAACCCATGCCCTTCCTCCCTGCTGGAATGAAGAATCCCTTTTTTACCTAAAATATTGGGTTTACTCTCAGCTTCTCTTGATTAACTTAGCCAGTGATTTTTTCCCACATAGGTGCACAAGAAAAATGAAACAAAGGGGGTAGAACACAAACATCCCTGTGAATTTTCAAATGCCAAATTTTATAACTCCTACAACGTTACTGCTTACTACCAGTTCTTTCTGACCCAGTGAGATGTAAGAGGCCTTTAACTGGATCCAAGCCGGTTAATTCCAAGATCACATCCGTTCCTAGACCCAGTCCATTTTCTGTTGTGACTCCAAACCCAGTTTGGATCAGAAATTTGCTCAAAGCAACTCAGAGAGCTCAAAACACAAATATGTGAAGCTCCAAAATGCGAAAGGGAGCTTACCTATGATCCTCAGCCACTGTGAGAGATCAATGGACACAGTGGATCATGCAGGTACCTTTCGTGTTTACTCAGTGCTCCTGGAGATACTGGAAGCTCCACTTCAGATCCTGCTTCTGACACCATCTGATAAGAGAAAAACTTCAGCTGAATTAAATTTAAAGGCGTTTAATTGAGCAATGAACAATTTGTGAATCTGGCAGCTTTCAGAATCACAGCAGATTCACAGAGGCTCTGGGGGTTGCCTCGAAGTCAAAACGAATTTATAGACACACAAAAAAAAGGTATAGTGACATACAGAAACTGGAAGTGGGGTACAGAAACAGTGAGATTGGTTACAACTGGGCGTTTGCCTTATTTGAACACAGTTTGAACATTCAGCAGTCTGTGAGTGGTTGACGTATGGCTGCTGGGATTGGCTAACACTCAAGTATTGTTAGAGGTGCACACTACTAGATTAGGTTTTCAATCTTGTCTGATTATTAAGGTAGGTTACAGTTCACCCACAAGGACTCAAATGAAGAAGTACAGAGTCCTTCTCAGGCCATATTTAGTTTGCTTTAACACTTTGTAGCAAAATTCACTGGAAGGATTGTCCAGACATGCTATCTCCAATCCCCCTCCTATTCTTATCTAATTGAGATTTTGCTGGTACCATTCTACTGAAACACTTTTTAAAGCCATCAGTGATCTCTATGTTATTAAATCCAAAGGTCAATTATTGCTTCTCATCTTAAAAGATCATCCTTTAATGGACTTTCTTCAGTTGGTTTCCAAGACGACACTCTCTTGGTTTCCTTTATCTTCACTGGTTACTTCTCAGTCTCCTCAGTGGACCCTTCTTTTCTACCCAGTTTCTTAATTTTGGATCACTTCATGGAGTCCAATCATTGGTCCTCATTTGTATCCACACTTACTCCTTGGTTATCCCATCTGGTCCCATGGCTTTAAAATCAATCTACCTGCCAATGACTAACACATTTATATTATTACTCAAACTCCTTTACAAACTTAAAACATATATATCTATTGGCCTCTTCGACGTCTCTTGAATTCCATCCAATAGCCATCTCAAACTCATTTTGTCTCTGATCAGACTCCTTATCCACCCTCTCCACCCAGTCACTTCACTGGTAGTCTTTCTCAACTTAGTGGATGGCAACTCCATCTTTTCACATGTTCAAATAAAAACGCTTGGAGTTATTCTTAAGTATATTTTCCCCTTTCACTTTACATCCAATACATTATGACATCCTCCTAATTCTGGTTGGGAGAAAATTCTTCATGACCTCTCCCATTTCTGCATGTTTTAGGAGCAGAGACATTGACAGCCTTTGCTGCTAACTTTTCAAGGATGTTTGTAAAGAGGACAGCTTGGAAGCTAGAGATATTGCTTTCTTCTGAAGTGGAGGGCAGGTTTGCTTACTGTTCAGTATGAGAAAGATAATGTCTGTGTCTGGAGCAAACTTCAGACAGCTTTGCTTGCAGTACATTATAAAACATCTAGGCTCCGTAAATTCAGGGTTCCTTGGCTGCTGCACACATCTGTTGCATTTGCAACATTAATCTGCTTTTCTGTATTTCCTCTGTAGGACTTGTGGAGCCAGGAGGATGGACACAAACACAAAAATCCTTCTCCCTGTTTAGTGAGTCATAAATTAGTGTCTTTCACCCAGGAAGTTTGTGTCACCTGCCAGCATTTACAAAACAGTGCCCCAAGTAGGGCAAACTTTTAGATGCTTCACAGTTCTTGGCAGTGCATTCTGGATGGAGAATGTCTTTAGTCTTTTATCAATGGAGAACCAGAATGCTCCTTTTAAAACAAAAGCCAGATTTCATCATTCCTTTGTGCAACTCCTGCAGTAACTCCCAATCGCATTCAGAGGAAGAGATATAAATCCCTGTAACTGCCCTATAAGTTCTCCATGACTTAGACTCCAGTCACCTCCCTGACATCCCTCCAGTCACATCTGTGACCTTACTCTCTTTGGCCACTCTGCTTCAGGTACTTGGCTGTCATTTTTCTTTTGCCTGCATTCTGTTTTCTCATTAGACCTGGAGAAACCTCTATTATCTTCTTTAAGTCTTCACTTAAAGCCACCTGCTCAATGAGGCCTCCTTTGACCATCCTATTAAAAATTACAACTGCTCCCCTAGTCTCTCGGCAATGCTCCTGTGCCCCGTTGTCATTCTCTGTCTGTTTTCATTTTTTGTTGACAGGGTCTCACTCTGTCACCCAGGCTAGAGTGCAGTGGCTGAATCATGACTCACTGCAGCCTTTACCTTTCAGGCTCAAACAATCCTCCCACCTTAGTCTCCTGAATATCTGGGACTACAGGCATGAATCACTGTGCCCAGCTAATTGTTTTATTTTTATTTTATTGGGATGGGCGGGGGGGATCTTTGCCTCCCATACTGGTCTCATAATCCTGTTTATAGTTTTATAACCTTCTGTGCCAAACTCTGATGCCTTAAAATATCTAGCAGTGAGAAATATAAAACCCAGACAAAAATGTATGCTGACAATTCTGAAGACATTTCTATTTTTATTTTACAATAATTTTAATGATAACTTGCTAAAGATTTCCTTACGTAACATGAACATGAAAAAGACTTTGGACTTATTAACTTAATCTATGAGCACTCTTTTATTTATAAGCCAACTTGGTAGTGACAACATATAATGTAATACATGTGCCTACACATAAACACATCTAGATGCATATACACACAAAGACCCAATAACATTTACCTGGGAACTCAAGCTATAGCAATACAAACTTACCAGTCTGCAGACATGTCCACATGGCTGAACTTGGTTAACCTTGATAGGTAATCCACTGAAGGCTGTGAATCAAAATTTTGGGTAAAGCCGTTTCTGTGGCAGTTTAATCTTTAAAGGCCAAACTTCTCCAGACTCCAAAGAACACTGGGGTCAAACAGCACCACAGGAGAACACCACATAGTAACCTGGTACAACAGCAGCACAAAAGCCTGGATACATGGAATTTCAGTCCACTTTCCCATTCAATAGCAACTCCAAATTCAAACTATACTAGTGCCAAACAGTCTTACAAAAGAGTATCAGTTTATCAAATTCTAATTTCCCATGACTATGCAAACAGACACATGCAAACAGTCACTAAAACACTATGCAACTGCTTCAGGATCAAACAGCCCCAAAAGTGTGCAAACTGAAAGAGTTGGGGTGCTTCATCTCTCCATTGGTTAAACTCAATAAACCTGTAAGTGAAAATTCCTTCAGAATTTCTCAAATGGAGAGGAGCTGATCCCATTGTCTGGTACGCACAAAAGACACTCACTTGCCTGGATACACATACAATGAAAAGCCCCCAAGAGTGTGCATACTGGAACAATCAGGGTACTTCCCTCTCTTCATCATTTAGGCTTGTTCAACCTGCAAGTGGAAATTCCTTTAAAAATTTCTCAAATTGAGAGGAGCACATCCTTCTCTCTGAGCCCACAAAGGACAGTCACCTCTCTGGATGTCAAATTTTAAAGGCAGTTTTTCCAAGGCAATCAGGAACATGGAGAGAGAGGGAACTCATCTCCAGCCAAAATTGGGTAAGTAGCTGCTTAGGAGGGCTTTGAGACTCCCGGTCCATGGCAGGCGAGCCAAAGTGTTCCTTACTGGAGAACCAAAATCTTACTGAAACACCAGGGGTGTGGTCTAGGTCCTGCAGCTCACCGCACAGAAAACCAATCAATATCACCACCAAGGAAGAAGACTGAATTGGATGCTGTAGCAGAGGCGATGGGAGCTCAGTCTCAAATCCATCTCCCTGACCAACTAAAATTAGGAGTTTACATAGCAGGGAAGAAATGTAACAATGTGTAGCAAAACAGGAACTCAGGAGACCTAAGGAAGCAATCATAATTTATGAGAAGCCTGGTGTCCCATTGTCTGGATGGGATCATCTGATGAGTTTCAATTCTTTGATGCTTTTTGAGGGAGGTAGGGGTCCTTTACTAAGGAAGAAATTTCATATAAAACAAATGAAAGTTTCAAGCTTTGAGACCAGAGAGGTGAATTTCTATGTTTATACAAAAAATGATCTACGAGACTACAAGGGGGGTTTCAATCCAGTGCCAGTGCTAGCTCTGGTCTGCCTCAAATCTGCCTATTCTTCTGGCAAACTGTGTCAGGACCTTGGCCAGGAGATTAGCTTCCTCTCCCATCTGTGGGCTCCTCTCCCATCTGTAGGGCTGCTGAGCTTGGCAGTTTCTTAGACCACTTCAGTTCCAGAGCAAACTCCTTTGCATCAGCCTTTCAGACCAGCTCTGGAGTCTCTCTAGAACTCAGCCCGTACTTATAAGGTGCAGTGGGATAAGGCTGGAACTAGATGCCTTCCTCTCAGAAACACAAGCTATCTGACAGAGTGGTTACTCTCTAGGACTCCAGCAGGGGATTCTCCAAGTCCACTTCTCTGATGTATCTAGTCTGTGGATCAAAACGGAAAGGTTTAGCCTTATGTGTCATGGCCTCAGACTTTCTGGGCCTAGCTCAGTTCTGATATCAGTCCCACCATACTCAGTATTAGTCATAAGTGACATCCATGGCAGCTTGGATTCTGGCACAGACATGGGCTCTCTGAATGGAAGCAATGAATTCTGGTTTCACAGGTGCTGAGGTTATGCTACTCCGCTTTGGGCTTTTCAGGCTCTGTGAGAGACCTGTGATTCTAGGCATCTCCAGCTGGCTACCCCTGAATGTTCTTCCGTCGTTTGGGAGTCTGCAGGTGTACATCATGAGGTCATGGGGAGTAGACACCTAGGAGAGCCATTTGCGCATGGCCCCACTTTCAGAGAGGGTCCCAAATTTGAGATTTCAGCGTTATCACCCAATGGTACAGAAACTCAGACAGAATGGAGGAAACACTTGCACCATAAATTACACACTGCCAAGAGTCCACTCTGAATTAATGTTTTTAAATTCTTGTTATGTTCTTGTGAGTAGAACAATAGTATTGCATGGCATTTTTGTCATCATAAGCATTCATTTATAAAATATACACATTTTAAAACTATTATCAATGTTTTGGTCTATCTTTATTTGTTGGTATACTTTGTACTACAAAATGGCAATGAGCTGGCCATCTTTGAAC